TTGACTAAGGGACTTATTTAAATTCCTTACCGTCAGTTTGTTTTTCATTTGTTTTTTTTAAAGCAGATTCATATTTCAGTCGAAATTTAGTCGAAAGATCGCCTTACATTGTAGGTAGCAGAGAACACACGTCTTTCGCGGTCCAGATTGTTCCCAACTGACCGCGTTAAACAAACAGTACTCTACTTCTTACATGCCGTACATGTAACTATTTCGGTACAGAAGAAAAACTATTATTGAATGTCGTGCCATTTAAAAATAACTTCTTTATTCAAATCTGCAGCTGGTTTGTAATGTCACTTCTGTACTCTTTTTCCGTCACTGGTGTATATAAACCATATCCAACACAATTTATTACATCTCTGTGCGCCGGTTACGCGTTTGAAGACGTTATTTTCATCAAATTCAATTCCAACGATACTACGAAAATCCTGACACCAATTTGTAATTCTAATGCTATTAATATGAAATTTTGACATATAATTAAAATTTTGATTCTGGTTTCAATTATTTAAATTTGAGTTTAATGTTTTACAGAGTACTAAAGAAATAAAAGCAAATGTAATAGCTATATGCGAAAATTATTCCGAATTTTGTTCAGCCTTCATATAAATCGTCCTCATGTAATCAATATGAAAGATATATATTTAAAAATTCACAATTTTAAAGAACATTGAATATATCATGTATGTGCAAAATTTGATTAGTATTTGTTGCATGTTTACAAAATTATCAACATTGTCTACGAATTTTTGGGACAACCCTCGTACTTCTATATACATGTATATAGAACAAGTCTTGTGTATAAAATGCAGAATTTTCCCAAGGTTCCCTTGAGATTTTGCTAATGATTTATTATACGCAGATTCGGCATACTAATTTTGTTTATATTTTTTCGAGTTGGCTATATAATGAGTACAGGTACAATAAAATGAACATGTTTGTCTCCGTTGAATTATCAGCGATGACGTCTTAGAATATTTTGTTCATTGAAAAATGAATCTAAAAAATTAATTACACAGTTTTTTTCAATGAACGTTTTCGTTTTTTATAAAGTGTGCAATGAATTTTGTTGAATTCATTTCTCGATGGACAAATAGACGTATGTTTCTCAATCCTATACGCTTTGAATCAAATTTAGACCTTAGTGTATTAAAGTGAGTAGTTGGGCATCTTTTTTTTATTTTGTTATCTTTGTATATCTGGATTTTTTTTCTCTTTCAAATTTCAGTATCATCTTCCTTTGTTTTAATCTGAGGTAAACATTGACTTTATAATGAACGTTTTTACAAAAAAAAAATATTATTTTTTTTAACTTTCAGAAATTGATCAAATCTGGCATGATGACACACGTGTAGAGACATTTAATACCAATATAAATACTATATCCTCTGATATAGAGATATTAAATGAAAATCAAGGCAAGCAAATACATTTTTTTTATCTTTTTATATTATTAATACCAATTTTCTTATAAAATGCCTTCATTAATTTAAGGAATGCCTCCAACAACATCCAAGAACTTTCGTTTTTTCTTTCCTTTTAATCAATAAAGTCTTCGATATATCCAAAAAAAATGCAACGATTAATAGGCATATCAAAATAGAGAATTGTCAATTTTCAAACTGTTCCATCGCAATGCTGGGGAAAACATAAAAAGTAAAAAAAAAACATACCTGAAGTGAGAGACAAAAAATCAGCGGCGTAGATTGAAGGAAATGCTGAACATTAATTGACTCCCACTCCATCCCGCCACACAATATTTTTCTCTTTCATTCCTCAACGTCATACAGATATTTTTATAGGCCGATGTTATACTGGTTGAAATATAAATAATTTAACATGCATTAATTTTTTTTATTGACTCAATATTGAGTACAAATTAAGATAAAATACATATATTTAACATTGCAGTAGGAATATATATTCAATATTTCTAATACCTGTTGCATTAAAACTGTCTTAATTAAAAACTGAAAATGTTTTGGGCTTAGTCTTATATAAAAATAAAAATCTTTAAAACATAGATCAGTATTCCAGATGTTCCAATAATTCTTGCCATTCAGTGTACAAATATTCTAATTTTTGCTTACTACAGTATAGAAATCTCTTTACATATAATTTTCCCTTTAACATTTTTATAAAAAACCACAAAGTTCAAGTTACATTCACAACTTTCTTGTGCATTTCAAACAGTATAAATATAATATTTTGATGGTAATTAACAATGATTCAGAGTTACTATACGGTAAGTATTTGTATAAATTTCAAAAATCACATTTTGACATAAAATATCTTGAATAAATCATACTGAAAATTCAAACTGTTCCACCAATTCGAAAATTAATTCCAAATGCTTTAGTGCTTTGACAAAGATAAAACCTGTGATATATTGTATAAATTTTCTTTTTATATTTTGCATGATGGTGATTTATTTATACCCATATCATGTAATAATTTTCCATGTGCTGACTTTAAATTGTTTTTAAATAATAATGCTGAACCTTTAATCAATATGTTTTTGATCTCGTTGTACCAGCAGATCATTGATAGATTTACTGGTTTGATGATACAAAAGATAGGGTAAAAAGAAAGAAGTTATAGTTTTTCTGGTTAATACAAGTAATTTGAAAGACTGATTACATATTATTTTACGCCCCATTCGAATTTTTTTCACTCATGTAGAGACGTCACCATATTCCCTGTGAAGAACTTCAATTCTTTTTACCTTTACTCAGTACCAAGTTAGTAGAGTATCCTAAATTAGTTTCTTATCAACATATATTATTTATTACATTAGTGTCCGGTTTCCAGGGTTACAGGAACTCTATTTCCGACATAACAATATCGTTTAAAAATAAGTAAAAAAAAGTATGAGTAAAGATGAAAGTAAATTAAACTTAGAAAAAAAAATCTCAGTTATATTTATTTCTCATTCAGATACAATGCAACTATTTAATTGAAAAATGATCTTTTCATTGCTTTTCTTCAAGCAAATAGAAAAATTAAGCAGTTATTTTCTTAAATTATTATTGAAATAAAGATTGTATGGAAGTGTTTCATACAAAGACTTTTAGCAGTTTAACTATATATTTTTTAAAAGTCAAGTATTTGCCTAAGTGTATGCAATGAAACGTTAAGGATTAGGAATAGCGACCAATCAAAATAAAAAATCAGCAAACATGAGGAATTCATGAACGGGAAGAGACTTCCTTTGAAAATCGAAAGGTTGGATCAGTTACAGAAGAGTCATGTTAAGCTACATGTAGCTTAAAAAGTTTTCTTTAACTTACTCTTTGTATTAACATGGAAAAAATACCCTGATTAGGCTTATTTTTAAATATTCTAATTTAAGAGAATAAACGATATAAAGAATTCTTTGCGATGTATTTACTATATCTTTACTGTATAGTACAATGATAAGAATTTTTTTCTGACATTTTCAGGTGGAAGTGATGATGACCCGCCAGAAATTATTTTACATGGAAGAGGTATATACACAGGTAAAGTATATCATTAAGGGAGTTAGCAAGATTCCAGTTCCCCAAGGCCAGGACTATTAGGAAATCAGGAAATAGTCCTGGTCGAGGGGAACTGGAATCTTGCTAACTTCCTCAATGGTGTACATTTTAACTGTTTTATTATACAGATACAAAAGTAAAAAAAAAATGAATGGCGGTGAATTACCTTTCGGACTAACGTACGGGGATTAGCCCCCATTAACATATTAGACCGATACAAAAGTAAAGTCTAGAGGAATACTGATAACCGGAAATTAGTTTCAGAAACATGGACTGCTCATTTGACTATTGTAGGAGATTAGTCTATTCAGAAAGATTTTTAGGGAATTATTAATATTTTACTACCTAACTTTTATGAAGGAAAAAAATCAGTAATGATATAAAACAGTTTTAATGAGTTGTATGCAGTTGTTTGGTTCATGTCTTCAAAACATTTGTTCAATCCTAATGAGACGCTATCTCTTACTGACAGAGGGTAGCAAATTTTGACCTCTACTTTGTACTAAATGTCATTGAGCACTGAGGCATTCTCTGTGCCTGCACCTACTGCGAATTGAAACCTCGAATTATACGGCCACAACCGAAAACCAGTCTCCATATCACACAGTGGATTCGAGCCCGCAGTGTAAAGATCAAGTCTGTGATGTTAGAGCAAACGCTATAATCACTTAGCCGCTCTCACATCATGATGTTACATCACAAGTTCCATTTTCCAGTATCGTAATTGGAAAACAATCTAACCAAAACGCTTTAAGTGAAATAAAACTGCTCCCAATTCAATCAAGGTTCTCTGTTTAAAAATATAGTATCATGTTCACTGCTTTTTGAATAATAATACTGCCCCTGTAGCCAACCTTCTCTTGATCGTTTTGTGCCTGCTTATCATTGATGACATCACTGTTTTGCATCGATGGTAAAAGAAGTTGTTTCCCATTTTCAATCGACTTTGATCAGTAGCAGCCGATATTCCAACTCATGATTCTTAAAATATTGCCATGAATGTTAGACCTTTTAAATATTCTAATTTACAATTCAACTATGTGATGAAGGTCCGAAATCATATTCATGGTGTGTTGTATTGGAAGTTTAATTGTGACGACATAAAAAATAGCAAGTGACAAAAATCAAATTAACGACATGGTGATGCGAAAATAACGACTTGAATTCATTCATTTTATCAATTATTTAGACAATCTTGTAAAAATTAAAGTACTTGATAACAATACTGTAGAGTAATAAAAGAAAGTCTCTTTTCAAATGTGACATAATTCTGAACTCTGATTTTGGTGCATAGTAACAAACATTTTCATCTGACCAAGTTTCATTATTTATGGTCATGCGGTCAAAAAAGTTTATTGAATAATTTTACCCTGCGTCTCCGACTAAAGTTCTTTAAAAATCTTTTTTTTCTGCTTCGGCTTTAGATATTTAAGTTAACAAAAAAAAATGGTATAAATAATCATTTGTGATATATCTTCTTTTTCTGTAAAGTACAATGATAAGAATTTTTGTGGAATTTTCAGGTAGAGGCGGTCATGACCTACAAGAAAATCTTTTACATGAAAGAGGTAAGCAGTATTAAAAGAATAGTATGTGGTATAATGCAATAAGGAAATTATAAAAGCTGCTAAGAAACACAATTTTTAATCACTGTAAAGGATGTATATTGATCTATATTTTTTTTGGTGTTTTGTGTTTTTAAGGTCATCACTTTTTATAACTGACATGATTATAAATCTTTCGTACAATAAATAAGTTTCAATGAATTATATTTGAGGTTATCTTCGATCTCTGGAAATCTTCAAGAGATGCAGAACAGGTAAAAAAATTTTTTTTTATCGATGTAAAGCTCAATTTATAATAAAATTCAGTGATATTAAAAAAGTAACAAACAGCAACAATCATTATCTATATACATATATATATATACTATAGTGTGAGGTTCAATATTGAGTTTTTAACGTTTAAAATTTCCAAAATGCTTCCTTAATTTGAGGAAAACAATCATCATATCTTTTTCTTAAGTTTGATCCAACATGTTTGTATTTTGGTCTGCATTCTTTTATTAAGCGAAGACTATATTCATATGTTCTCCCTAGGGAGATGACAGTAAACTAAACGATGGGGACAGGAGACCTTGTCTAAACTTAATTAATCCCTTTTGTATCGCCTCTGAATGATTTTCAGAAAGAAATAATCAATAATAACTAAGGAATAGAACAAATGGTCAGTTGGCTCAATTTGATTATGGCATAGTATATGTTTATACATCAAAATAATTTTACTTGTTTTAATGTTTAACGGTATGCTTTGCTTTAACATGATGTTTTCCTTTCTAAAGAAATGGGCGTGTTAGTATGTGACAATTGTAACAGGGGTATGGGAATGACACAAACTCCTTTCAAGGTTCTCGTTCTAGAAAAGGAAAAAAAAATCTTGTTAATTCCGCAGTGGAGTGACATGGATTCATAGTAATTAATACATTGCCCTGTAAATATATAACTAAAATAAATAGAATCCAAATATCACACACATAACGTTATTTTTTTACTTAGATTATCATCGACCTTATGTTACTTTATACAATGCACATTACCATCAAAGAGAGATACCTCTCGAATTCATGTATCTTCATATATTTACATTTCCAATGTTTTTGTTCGAGATAAAATTACAAATAGTAAATGTACTTTATTTCTCCATCAATGTAATGGTTCATGGATAGGCGGTTTTCAAATGAATAGTCTAATTCACAAATGTTAGATAACTCTTCGAATAGTGATCTATAATTTAATGATAATTAAAACATTATCTCTTCAAAATACACCGATTGCTCACTTTTGAACAATATAATAAAAAAAAAACCATTGATCATCATAAAAACACAATATCTGATTAACATTAGATTACTTCATCAAATACGAGGGTTGTCCGAAAAGTTCGTGGACGAGAGCCATTAAATCAAAACCGCTTAAACTAGTCATAAACTACATAGTATTAATTTTATCGAATCAGTCCATGAACTTTCCGAACAACCCTCGTATTTCATATTGATCTTGTAATTAATAAAATAAATATACATTATAAAATAACTTTCTCTCAAAATCATCGATTCACTTTAGTAAGTGCAAATTGAAATGGGTTTTGCATACCATAGAATGAATTTCAAAAATAAGAAAGCTTTCTAACTTACCGTAAGGGAAGTAAAAGAAATAATTTTAAGGAGTGGATCTTGGTCGTGCATAACAATTTTAATGAAAAGAAATTATTATAAACATCCTGGCAAGTTCTGTAACCTTTTGTCGAAGAAATCAAACACTAGTGCTAATCATCTATCTATAGATAGCTCAAAATGTTCCATTCGAATGGAAACTTATCTTAATGCGCTTTATTGTAATAATCTGGTAGTTTATTTATAGGATAAATGAGTGATTTTGTAACAAAGACGAGGTGAACATAAATATTCTTCAGTAAAAAAAGAATAAATATGTGGTCGGGAAATGAAATGCTTGAAAATTGAATAATTGATAGATTAATAAATATAAAAGAAAGTAAATGACTGAGTGAATGTTTAGCATAAAAAAAAATAAATCGGATGTTTAAATGATTTATGGAAATGTTGCATTTTTTTCCATTTCAGGCAACAATTTTATTGTGGCACTTGGAGTGGTAGTTCTTGCCATTGTTTTTGCAATCATGTTGGTAAACTGGGCAAAACCTATCTTTAATCAAAGCGATTCGAGCATGATGGTTTTCATTCTTTTAATCATATTTAACCTTGTCGGTGTCCTCAGCATTGGAGGCTTGTCAATGTCACGGAAGAATGAAACAACAAATGATCGGATGAATGGGAAAAAAATGACATTTTTTTGATATTAAGCTTTATTCGATGTATATATTTGGACTATGTTATTTTTTTCATTGTGCATTGTTCGCATGGAAACATTATGGTTCTGATTGTCCAAATCAAAAATTAGCATTAACCTATAATATAATAGCAATGATCTACACATTTGTTTTGTTCTTGTATTTTAATTTTTATCATGATCGACGATCTGATAATTCTAAACTTCAGAATTTTTTTTCTGTTGGAATACTTTTAGCAAATGTTTGTATTTGGCTAGATGCTTTATTTTCTGAATCAAATGATCTTTTTCAATATAGTCATGTATTTGTAGATACAAATGATACGGAAATTATTATGTTTAACATTACAAATTCATCCATTATTTGTTCCTATTCCGCAAGGGCGATGAGAGCTATAGAGAAAACGGAACCGTTTTTTTCACCAGCAATAATTGAGTTTTCATTAATGGCTATTGATTTGCTATTTCTCAAAACAGAAATTCCCCCCGAACAAGATGATTATGAAGTCGAAGAATATTGTATTCTTTTCAGGAAGTGTTTTCAAGCTTTATTTTCTTTGACATCTTTTGCTCTGTTTGCCCTTACATTTACATTTGTAATAATACAAGACAAATTGGTAGATATGTCAAATTTTCCAGATGATTTTACAGTATACGTTGCCATTCAGATATCCTTTAAGTTTATAATGCTTGTGTTGATTCTCATCTGCATTTCTGTTGTTTGGACAAATATGAAGTATCATTTCAATGTTTGGTGTTTGGTGCTTCTAATCAGTTGTTTTGGAAATGTTGTTAACCATATGATTTATTGTTTTGGTTTAACAGTGAACAAAGGGCAAATAGAAATACCAACTTATGATCTCACAATGTCTTGGATCGACAACATTATTAGTATAATACTTGCTTTCTGTCAGACAAACTATTTATTAGGAACGCACTCTCACATTGAATATAACGAAAGCTGCTGTTGTAGAGAAAAGTGTTCAAATTTCTATAAGATGTGTGTAAATTACTTTTGCTTCTTGATAGGCATTCTGAATTTAGGTTTGTGGATTGGTGATAGCATTGGTGAAGAAAGGATTCCTGTATTGAGTTATCCAATGTATCAAGCGTATGATTCCAAGGTTTGGAATGTTATCATCAAACTTGTCCTTCCATTGACAATTTTTTTTCGTTTTAACACTGGACTTAGTTTTTTGGAAATGTACTGGGAGCGCGATAAGGTGATAAGAATCGAACGAGAATAAATAACTAAATGATATTAAATAATGTTCTATAATCTTAAATAAAACAGTGTTTGTAATGCAAAAGAAAATATTTCTCAGGAGCATGCCATAAGGCAAAGTTAAAAAAACAGAAATGAATCAAAATGAAATCAAATTCTTAAGAAGACTTGTTTTGAATTCTTTTAAGAGGATAATGAATTTTTTTTTCTAGAAATGCATGAAAGAAAAGAACAAAAAAAATGAATAAATAAATAAATGCAAATCACAATTGTGTAGGTTTTTATCAAAAAAGGACAAGATGCTATTCAAAACTGTTGAGGGCCTCTCATAAAATATTTTTTTTTAAATGTAAAACTTGGGTTTTTATTGACATGTGAATACATTGGAACAAAATTAAAAATATTAAACATATAAGGCATTCTCAATCAATTTTTAATGCATGACTACGAGGGCTCTTCAAAAATGCCGCGGACTGTGCTATTATTTACTCTTACAGAGGTCATATATTTATGAAATTTTACAAACATATGTATCTTAAAGATTCCATTGAATTTTGGGCAAAATTTCTGTATTTTAAAAAAATTGTACAAAAATTATCGATATGTTGATATCGCTGATGGAGAGGTACGGAACACACCAAGAAATTGAAGCAAAAGCATGCAGAATTCAGAATATAACTCATTAATTTACTATAATTCGCGATATTTTTCAAAAATTTTCTCAAATGTTTCTTTGAATTGTTCTATTATTATGTATTTAGATTTCTGACGTGATGTTTGAAGTACTAACAGAAATATATTGATTTTCTCTGATGCGAAAACAACTGTGAAAATGACGTCTCTTGAATTAACGGCGCACCACACTTTTGTTGAATTATGTGTAATGCTCGAGATATCGCCAACATAGATCCAAAATATTCATAATAAAACATGTAGTAAACTATGGTACTCGTGACATCCGTCCACAAATAGCAAATTGAAATTTTAGACTGTTAGACCTCTGTAAAAAGGATATACAGGAGGACGGGAAAATTATCGACGAAAACTTTATCCGGACTGTAAAGAACGTGATTGAGAGGCACCAATATGACACTTTATCTCACAAATACCTGCAAATTTTGCTTTTAAAACCAAAAAAAAAAAAAAAAAAAAAGAATATTCTCTACTTGTTTAATAGATTTTAAGCTTGACAAGAAATGGTGTTTGGATGTTGAGTAGATAAGGTAACTCAAACTTTACAGGTACTCTTGGGAAAATATTAAGAAAATGAAAGCTAAATCACAAATTTTTTTATGATGCCTGTGACGACGAATATTTTGCTACTCCGTGACTTAATGATATGTCCTGAAAAATAACTCAAATTGATACCAATTAACAAAATTTTGATATGAAATTTTGAAGACGATATAGGTAAGGATTTTTTTTACATTATGCGTGACATTTTGCCCGATTATGTCGTCAAATATTTTTTTCTGTGCAACAAGTCCGCGTACTTTTTGAACGGCCCACGTAGCTTAAAGAAATTTGCAGAAATAATCATTCATTTTAAATGGTAAAGTATATATTTCAAATTACCATGATTTAAAACTCAAACAATTAAGAAAAGGTGTTTTGAAAAGTTAAAAAAAAATTATAGAAAAAAAGACCATTCATAAATATATAAGGGTTCAAAACATAATTTGATAGAAATACGTAAGGAGTGGAATGTTTCGAAGGTGGAAAACTTCATGTAACAACTGCTGTGATTGTTTATGCTATTATTTTCTCAACATTTCTGGTGGACAGAACACACTTACATGATATGATTGATACATGTTCAGATCTAGTTAAGTCATCATTCCTCCTGGCAATAAACATCATGGCGTCTGTGTTTGCTTCTGTATTTCTTATTAGATCATTTAAAGAGAATTGTTTCGGAAAATTGAAAACTGTGGGAAACTCTTCACGTAGGCAATTCTGCAAAAATCTTTATCGTTGCAATCTTTTATGTTGTATTTGTTTTGTGTCAAAGTTTTTGCATGAAAAATCATCCAAGCAATACCCTCAAACTATTATACATATTTTTAATATACTGTATGTTTCACTTCTGTAAATTTGCGTGATGTTTCAAGGGTCTAGTAGTCAGAATCTTCTTATTTTAATAGGTTTTTGACAATTTGTGTTTGCAAGGGAATTAACTTTTTATATCCTTATTCAAACTTTCGTGACAATTTTTCTCAAAACGAATCTGATGCACAAAATCTTATTAATTCCCCAACATATAATTGCAACATTGTTGAAGCAACATTTCCTCCTGCGGATTTTGAGTTTATCTTAATCTGCATTGCAATTCTTTATGTTGAGAAAAACGATGCGAAGAAGGATGGTATAAAAATATGTTTCCGACATAAATACACAACACCAGTTATTTTTGCTTTGTTTTTGTTATTATCGTGTTTTGCATTGTTTTTGGTTCTCTTATTTGATCTGATAATGACAACGATTTGATTAAGTTATTGTATAATCATTTTTCAACTATCATTAAAAGTTGTCTGTTGTATAGCAGGGTTGTGTATACGTCTTGAGACATCAAATGTTTTCAATGAAGAAAAAATGAAAAGCTTGGAATTTATTTTATTGATAGGCTGTATTTTCTCCATTGTTTTTCACACATTATTATGGCTTGCAATATTCAAACAAAGAAGTATTCTCATTATGACTTATACATGTAACTGTTTTGGTATTCTTTTGTCAATTTTACAGATTAATTTAGTTTTTGTTCTTCACCAAACTAGTTATAGTGCAATTTGTCCGACTTATATAAAGCATTGCACCTGCATGTGCATTATCTTCGGTGAGGCAACGTTTCTTCTATCATTGTCTGATGATATAGCAATGTGTATAATCTTGAAGCTCAAGACTTTCTTGCTCATCGAGTACGGAATGACATTGAGTAACGTAATTACTCAAGATTTTTTACCAGTTACTGGTTAGTAAAGAGTGTTTAAACTTGTAAGCAAACATGAGAGAAAATAATACAATCGATGCCTATATATGTATATTTTAAAGTACATATATTGTTCATTTTCAATGCACGTATATTTATCATTACATAATTTATATTATATTATATTAAATGAAGTTATATAAATTATTGTGGAGATGGCCGTGTAGTCTTTATATTATTAACAAAATAAGAAAAAATGTGTTCATTTTTCATTTTCAATGCACATATATTTATCATTTTATTATATCATTTTATATCATATCAAATTATATTCCAAAGTTATTATATTACATTTATATTTTGTTTCTTGGATATTTCTGGAAGTTATTCAATGCCTCTAACCAAAAACTTTAATTAGAAAAAAATAGCAGAGGATCTTGTTTTATAATTTTTAAAAAGTTGTTAGAACATATTTCTCACCTTTGCATGCTCCAGTTGAATTTTGTTTACAAGTTTGAGCTAAAAATAAGAGTAGCGTGACCTTGACACATACGAAACAACGAAACGGTAGATACAACCTTTGTTTTTCCGGCACTTATATTGTGCAGTCAATTCTTGCAGTTTAATTGTCATATCTTCGTTATATACTCATAAATTCCGTAAGTCTTTCTCTGTATGCTACAGATATCTTAAAATTAAGATATGATTTTGACTCACTGTGCCGCTTTAAAATAATTTTAAGCGAAGCTTATTAAGAAGAAAAACCTTTTTGTCCCTGGCATTCCTACTAAATTTTATTGTTAAATTACGTCATACACGTAACTAGTTGTTTTCACAGATTAGAATAGAACAAGTTTCCTTTGAAATTATTATTTTTTTCTGATTTTTTTTTTTTTTTTTTTTTTTTTTTGCAGAAATATTATGTGTTGACATTGCTTTTATTGTGTATGAAATACGAATTGAAAATCAAAATACTGTATAAGTGGAAATTTTTGCGAGACGCAAATAGCGATTTCTCCTTAAAAATTGGTAATTTATTTTTAGCGAGAGATAATTTTAGCGATTTTAAAATGCTTACTAAATCATCTATGTCAAATAAAATACAATTAATTTTTAGTAGTATTCAAGCGATCTCATGATCCTCGCTAGTAATGCCAAAATTAAATCCTCGCCAAAAATTCTACTTATACGGTATTAATGCTTAAACTTGTATTTATAGATTTATTTGATGATAATTTACTCTGTCTTTCGTTTTACTTATGTAGATCAGAGAATGCAATGGTGTTCGTTTTATCCTAGTAGATACTCTGAATGAACCAGATTAGGATTATCATTTCAATTATTTTTTTACGTTTTAAAGTACGTTTTATCAGTCTGCATATTGTTTTATGTTATTTTGTTATTTCAATAGCCACACTTGTATTCATACAATTGTCAATATAACATTGTCATTTAAATGAATAAAAAAATTAATTTTACTTTTTTTCTCACGATATATAGTAATGAATCATTTTCTTTCAAATGATATTGAAGAATTGTGAAACAATTTTAATATAGTTGTGATTATTTTTACAAAATGTTTTGCATATTATCAATGATTATTTTTTTAAGGACAAAGCAATATTTTTATTTTCCCTAATATTCAATTAAAATTACTCCAGTATCTAAAATAAAGGATAAATATACGCACCACATGGCCGGAAATTTAATTGTTAGATTTTGATTGCTCAATATCTGCATCCCCTAAGACAGGAAACATAATGGCCATTATAATACATCACTTTACAATATTTCAGACTTTATTATTCAAGGCGGACACATAGATCAAAATGAAAAACAAATCAAAACCTATTTATCTCCGTTTTAGTCTGATTTCTGTATCAAGTGTATTTTCCATCATCAGAAAGTAGATGATGCTATATTTAGAAAATTAAGAAATAATAAAGTATAAAACGCTTATAGGAAATGCACTTTTAATGATATGAAACAAACAGCTTTTTTTACTTTTTTTTTCCAATGGATTTTTAATTAGTTTTGAAATTAAAGAAAAAATGTCATAAAAGTAAGGAATAATTTTCATAAAGTCATAATTTCTCCCCCCCCCCCTTCCATCATAAAAAAAAATTATATTGTATTTAAACATTATTGAAATTTATAACATATTCAAGAAGATGA